CAATTCATATATGTATGTATGTATTTGTTTCCATAGTTACACGAAAGTCACAAAGATAACAAAAGATTTGCTGCACTTCCAAACACGAGTACCAATATTTTGAGAAAACTTCCACTTGTCTGCAGTCAACGCTGTCGTCTGTAGACAATTAAGTATGCTCGTTCTCATGTATAAGTAGCGCCGCAAAAGACAATTCAAAATGAGTTAGTAAAAGTATTAAGATGTCTCTTGAGAAGTTTGTATGCGTGTGTGTGTGTGTATGTGTTGTAGCCGTAAAGCGAAAACACTTTGTTGTTAATTATATGTTGCCGAGACGATTTATTTCGCTTGACAGTTTGAATGAATTATTTTATTGGTGCAGTTTTTGGTTTGAAAACTTTATTTTGGAAGGTTAATCGGCTGTGGAATAGTCGAATCGGTGCTTAGAATAGACAAAATTATTCGACATTTCATAAAATGACAATCATAATGGATTTCAGCGCCTTAAAGTAAGGCACATATTTCTAAAAAAGCATCGAGAGAATTTGTTAATAACTCAAAAAATTAAGAGTTTCTTGCTCTGTCTAATTTTTCATTTAATTCCACAGAGCTAAGATGTTACATGTATGAATTTAATTCCTCATTAAGCGAACAAAAAAAAAATTATATACATCTTGTCGGGCACTGCGATGCTTTGTTATTTGCCTTCATGCAAAAATAGAACAGCTCTCTTAAAAGCTTACGCCAGCTGACACTAGACACAGAAGAATCATTGGTCCCAAGATTATTAGGCAGATTCAGTGGTACGAAATTAGCTCCTTTGGGCATTGCACTGGACGGAACTTGCCTTCGATCTTGCTCACTACTAAGCTTTTGTTTATTTTACTTTTTTTGAATTTAAAAAATATTAAATAACTTTTGTTTAATAAAAAGAATTTATCGCTTCATACTAGAGCGGCATATTGGCTTTGAAAAACTGTGGTCAGAGGAACTCAAAGACCTAATAGAGCTCTGTATACGAAAGTAGTAAAACATACCCTGGAAAAAGGGTCGTTAATTTCGGACCCGAGGTATCAAACTACTCTTTAACATTAAAAATTTGCTCTGTGACTTTAAGTATAATATTTTTTTATGCTTTTCATCTGAAACTTGTTAGCCTCCATACTCTTGCCAGTCGCAGAGATATACTTGGTGCATTTTTTATGACTGAAACAATAGCAGACTAAATTTCGAATCTTCTTATTCTCTTCGTTCCATAGCCAGTGCGAAATCTGACCGAAAATGATCCCAGCTTTTCTCAAAAAAGAAAAAAAAAAATAAACCTTGCGGTCGTAACCTAAAGAACAGCAGTGTCCAAAAATGGCGAGGAGAAGAAGAAGACCTTGCTGCAATTGATTTCATTAAAAGTCATTACAAAAATAAAGTCGTTCAGCATTAGTTTTTCCAACCCGCTGGTCTATATCGGAAAGTACTCAGTGAGAGTTTCGGACGCTAGAGTCATTTCCGTTTTCCCGGTTTTCATTTAATTAAAGCTGCTAATGAGCAAATTTCTAGCTGTGCAATGTGAGGAGCAAGTGTAACCGGTTTTATAGAACTCAAAATATCGATGATACTGATATTGGAACATGTTGTCTTCCTTTAACTCTTGGGAGTTTATATTATGGTTCTCATCATTAGTAATCTTGTTATTAAGTACCATTTCCAGTTCATCTCTTTTCCTCTGCGTGAAATCTGCTCAGTCTAAAAATTGATCAAATCTTAGGATAGTTTAGATCTGTAGACTGATATGCCGGGCCTTGACCGCTTGACGCCAGTAAGTTGGGCATATCTTAAGACCTAAATCCGTCAAACAAGATTACTACACTGTACTACGTGGCCTTGGCTTTTCGGCAGCTCATTGTTATAGTATTCAGAGCAAAAGGTAAATCAAATTTATCTTAAAATTAATGATGTTGCATTTTTTTGCAAAGTGAAAACATTTATTTAAGACAATAATCTGAGTGATAGAAATTACAATGGTCCCTCAGCACACTTTTTGCGTTACTGCACAGTCTGTCATAGTCCGCAGCCCACAGTCCTCAGTCCGCAGTCCTCAGTCCTCAGTCCACAGTCCGCAGTCCTCAGTCCGCAGTCCTCAGTCCGCAGTCCTTAGTCCACAGTCCGCAGTCCACAGTAAGTCAGTTCTGAGACTTAAGTGGTAATTTTTTCAGCCAAGCGAAGTAGATCGGCGCAACTAACGAGCACTAAGCCAAGCAATTTCTACTTTTCGTAGTCAATCTTTAGCTAATATTAAAGTAAACTATGTAATCGCAGTAAATATGTTATTATCATAAGCTCTCAGTCAAATTGCTCAATTGAATAGAAAAACTCACTAAAACTTTTATACTAAAAATAAAAAAATAAAAACAACAAGAAAACTCCAAAGCGATTACAGTCAATTTTCCCAACGCCAATCAATTTAATCGTTCAAGCAAAATATAAACAAACTTTCAAAGAACTAAACGTAATATCATGCAAATTCGTGTGTGTGTGTGTGTTCGTCTGCGCCAAAGCAATTTTAGTTAAATTAAAGTTCGTATCCCCACAGGATATTAATACTATGTCACTGTGAGCAGAGTAAGGCTTGATTGCAGAGAGCAAAAGCTGAAGCCAAAAAAATAAAAATAAAAAAAAAAATAAAATAAAATGAAACAAAACAAAAAATAAAAAATAAGAAATAAATAATAAAAACATTTAAAATTTCTTGCTTTATTTTAACGCTAAAAAAATGGTCACTACCAACAACATGTCGGTGCTATTGTTGCTGCTTGTTTTCCGGGCAGCACGCAAATAATATGCCACTCTCTAGGCAATATCGACACAAACCGAAATAACAACAACTGGAAAAGTTATACATATCGATCAAGAATAATGTTGACGTGCTAACCAAATGCGAGGAAAACAGTTAGCTGTCGAGGCCGCCTGCTTGCCATTGCTTGGTAGCTTGCGCAGGGCCACCCGCTTGCACGGAGCAGTCACCCTTATCAACGTCAATATCACATAAAATATGCAAAAATAATAGCGAAAGAGCAAAACTTTTCCAATTCACTTTATGTTTGTACTTTCAGCGTATTTTACGCTCCTCAACACACACACACACACACACATACACTTCAATATATAATATATATGGATAAATGTATAGCTTTACTTGGGTACAGCTGTCAATATTTTGCGAGAAGTACGTACCTACAAACTCGTATTTATATATATGATTGTGTTTTGATTTGTATGTATATATTTATTAAAGTCGTATGTATTCTGTAGATCAGTTGCAGCCTTTGCGTACTAAACAGCGTACCCAAAAAATTTTCTTGGTGGGGATAGAAATGCCTATTATCAGCGCTTATTGAAGTCCTTAAAATTCGCGTTTTGGTTGGAATTTATTTCATTGAATTTTTTTTTTCGTTACATTTAGCCGGCCTCCGAAAATCAATAGTGCAGCAGCCCATATACCTCGGTTGAGATGGCCCCAAGCCCCTGCAGTACCATCGTACCCTTGTATAAATCACTAAATGTTGCTTTAGAGTTCGTACTTCGTGGGGTCTGAAACACCACCTGTTACAGAAAGGTTGGATGGAAAATGTCTTTATTGGAAAAACAAAGAAGCTGGAGGTATAGAAAAATAAAATTAGGCATGACTTTCTTTGGGTATATTATTCAAAAGTCCAGTCGCACAAGAAAAAAGACGATTCTTAGTATGGCACATATATCCAAAGCTATTGGAGCATACAAAGAGGATTAATAAAACTAAGCCTTCGCCATCTAGGTCATCCACTGCTTTCTTTTTGAACTACAACTTGGGTTGTGAAACCTTCAATACTCAGTAAAGTCTAGCAATAATAAATCTGGGGAATATTACACATGGGTCCGACGGCGTTTTGGCGTCACAGAACAGAACTTTCTTCAAAGCCTATAATCGATCTAAATGACGCCTCCTACCTCACAAAAATTGTTACCATGGCGGATAGACCCATTACAATATACTTTTGCCGGGCATGTTCAGTGGAAGAAACCGAAAGCCTTGATTGTTCCTCGGTTTCATTTGCGCTTCGTATCCGCTGAAGCGATCTTTCGACCGAGCTCCTGCTCAGACTTGTGGTTTTTTTGTCTTGATGTTTTTCCAAAAAACGGAGGGACCTATAGTTTATACTAATCCACCGAACGGTGATATTTTTTTTACGAAGAGCTTTTATTTCATGTCCGAAATACACTCGTAGGGTTGGACATTATCTGCATCATTTGTAGAAGTTCCAACGAGTGAGTAATGTTTCTGGCTGCCATTCAGTTGGGAGACATTCGTTTGGAAGCGAGCTTAAGGGAGAAGGCGAGCCCCCTACCGTTGTGCATAAGGTTTGAGACTCATCATATGAAAAAAAGCTCCAAAGAAAAACCACCTAATTTATAGTACTCCACCGGGACTTACCAATGGGATGACTTAATGTCCAGACTACACAAAAACCAGGCGCTTCTAAGCTTTTCTATATCATCAAGTGATAGGTATATTTTTCGCTATTTTTATTTAAAATCTACATAAAACCTATATATATTGCCTTTTTTAATGTTGGCGACTGCCCTTGAGCTACCCTTATTGAGCATAGATTTGGTCTCTTCACCTCATGATGGGTGAAATTGGATAATATCTCTGTTTCACACACGACTCTTGACTCCTAACCTTGTCTTAGTGCTAAAGTCTTAGCTTTTTCGGCATAACCTGGAACACAGCAGACTGGATCCTCTATGACCTAACGCATAGTGGTCTACTAATGCTACAAATCTAGTTCTAGTCAAGGAAAGGACACTTTGTTCTCCGCATATTTCGCCGTACCCCAAATTCTGTCTACCCATGTTCAAATTTATCAAGCAATATAAAACTTCAGAGGGGTCTTTTAGCCCCACAAACGCCCTGTTCTAGTACCCGCACAAAATCTCCACTTAATATACATACATACAAATACATTTACAAAAATGTCCACACTTACCAAAGGCGGTTTGTCGACCAAACGCTTGCAATTATTCAGCTCTGTGGGTGAGTTGTCTTCGTCCGAGCTGGGTGGTGTATGCACAGCCTTCTCGTTATCATTGCAGCTGTATGTCATTATCGAGTTTGAAAGGACATATATTTAAAAAAAAAAAAAGAGAAAAATAAAAAATAAATAAAATAGAAAAAGGGAGAAAAAGCAGACAAAAATGAATGTTAACCAAAACCAATAAACAAGTATATACGTAAATATCTATATATGTAATTATGTAAAGAGAAACAAGTAAAATATAATATTGAATACAAGAAAAAGTTGTTGACTTCTAGTGACTAAGCATAATGGCGTTGTTAAATATTTATAGATAGTGAAGTTTTAGAAAAAGAAAAAAAAAGTACTATGTAAGTGGGTGTCTTTATTTTTGTTTATGTGTATGTGTGTATAGAAGTTGTATTGTGGCCGGATTGTGTGCAGGAAATTGCGTAAATGTTTGTGGTGTGTATTTTCCGGTTGCTACCCTCTTGCACTCTCACACCCGCCGCAACAGCTTGGAGAACACATGTGACTTGGCCATATGTATAAGTGCTTGTATGTATATATGTATGTATTGTAGTTTGTGTTTAATAGGAATGCATAAGTGATTTTTCTATAGCCTTTTTATCCCTCATTTACTTTGCTCTGTCCTCTTGTCTGACTTAACGTTTCGTAGATAATCGACTTTGACAACTGCAGTCAATAAACTACAGAGGATTTTTTGCTATTTTTGTATGGGTAAATGTACAAATGTATATGCGAAGATGTTTGTTTGTACGTCTTTTTTTTTGGGGGGGTGTGTGGAATTTGTTGTATGCAATAAATGCTTTCGTAATTCATGCAATTATTCATAGTATGCACATTCATACATATTTACTGCCAGACATAATCTTAAGCGTTTTCCCTAGAATAGAGGGTTGCACTGGAATTTTTGTTATTATTGTATTACTATTCTTTTTGGTCTTGCATAACTATTTTTAGTGGCGGTTTGTACAGTTATTTTTATGCGTTGAGTGTGAAATTTCTCCATTTTTATGCTGAGTTTTATAGAAGGATTGCATTTGATTGCTTTAAAGACTTTTATGTGCGTTTAAATTATTCTTCACATAGAGAAAATTTACTTAAAACTTTCATGGAAAGTAAGCTTATGAAAAGTAGAATTTTTGCTTATTAATCGGGTTATATTGCTTTTGCTAAGGAGCCACTGATTTTTTTTATTAACTTTTTATACTTTCCTAGAATTTCAAGGTTTTTTTTTCAAATTACGCCTTTTCGAAGCCGCCTCGAAAGTCACTGCTCACCAATTCGGAGCCATGATCCTTCGCAGTATAATAAATAATACCAATCACTCGGCTTAGAAATAAGCTTTAGCCAGCAACTCAGCAGGAGTCAGCAATAAAAAAACGTTAAAAGTTTAAAAATAATAATTGAAGAAGTTAAGAAGAGACAATGAAAGAAAAGATCAGACATATTGCGGCATGTACATATGTATGTGTCAGTATGCAAGATACCCACACTCCCATCCAAAAATAATTATATTGAGTAATGAAAATTGGGTTAACGGGTAGTTCAAAAAAACTGGGCCTCACAATCAGTATGCAAGCCAAGTTGGCAATCATTTTTGTGGGGCAGCGATAAGATTCTATTCGTTGGTTATGGGTAGCCAATAGTTATATGCTTTTCCTCTTAAAAAAAAATATGTCGATTGATAATTTAAAAAAAAATTTGTTTTTTAAATTAATTCCAACTGTTTCTAAATTATTTTTATTATTAAATTCATTTCAAATTTCCAACTGCACTTAGCCCAGCGTCATAAGGAGGCTACTTTGAGGCTACATACGCGCTGCAGGTAGGTTTCTTCGGAGAAAAAAATCTGCTAACATTGCTTCAAGGCCATATTCTATTTAGCTGCGATCGAGGTAGGCGAGCTCTTAGCTGCTATGCGAGGGTCATGGATTGGAAAATCAGATGAGCAATAGCTGTCTTCATGCCAAACGACACCTTTTTTCCTTTCGTTAACTTAACATATTTCGAACGTTTCCAGGGTCAATATTTAGCGGTATATATGTATGATGAATACCAATTTCTACGTTTTCTGTCGACTTTTGGCGGAGTTTTAACCAAAATCCACATATCTCCACAAATCGATAGTATGGAGACCATATGAGTGTCAACCCTGCGATTTTGATGATTTTTCATACCAATATGTAATTCTTTATATTCGTGTAGAATAGCAAATCTCAGGCTCTTAGGTGCTGTTTTGGTGGATTTATGACATGAAAAACTGATCGTATATAAATTATAGCAGTCCGATCTGACAGATCCGAGAAGAAGAGTAAAAATATACCTGTGTACATCTGTGTGGTTTCAGTTTCTCAGACAGACAGACAGATGGATATGGCTAACTCAACTGAGCTCGTCATTCTGATCCTGTAGTTTTAAATTCTTATGGGTCTATATCTTCTCCTTCTGGTACTTACATACTGCGGATCACGAAATGTATTAAAATTATTTTTCTAATAGATAAACCCAGCCACTCGGAGTTCTGGCTTTTTATATTTATTTCGTAGCTCACTCCCAGACACTTTTCGTATCCAGCTTTAGGCAAACGGGTGAGGCATCTTTTACATCAAAATTACCGAAATGAAACCGAAATTGTGCATGATTGACTGCAACAGTATCAGAACCATAAACCCTATTCACATTTCCAGCCGCCCGGCTGGCGTTTTCGCCCTCATCGAAGAAAAACTGTGAACTATAGCGCATTTTCTCTTTGCTAGGGTCCATCTATGCCACACGCTCAAACAAAACTGAATTAAACAATCGTTAAACTGTCAGAAAAGCGTTTTTAGTACGAAAAGTCATATTTCTAACGCCATCTAGATCGAGCTTATACAAAGTGAGATACGGATAAATAAAAAAATAAATAATTGGAAAACAATGGATTTTTTTTTTCTACACCTAATATCTGATTCAGTTTTTTTTTCTACGAAAAATTTTCTTTGCACTACGTACAACTGAGTGGAAAGGAAATATTCAATTCTACATTTATTTTATTTAGTATTCTTTTATATAAATGAATGACTTGAATTGAAACAGTTTTTAAATTAATTCCTTTGCAAATTTATTTAGTGAATCTTTTGTGCTTGACAATAGTCTGAAAATTTAAAAATCTGTAAATCAACAATCACGGTATGTACTGGAGCTCTAGATACCCAGGCAAGAAGCACTGTGAGTAGATCGATATTCTCTCGATATTCGTTCGTTGCTCAATTGTTCAAATGTATTTTTGGAATTATTTCAAAATTCTATTTTGTTGGTTAAAATTTCTCTAGCACTTCTATGAGTTTGGGTAAATAAATTTAAAATTATGGAAAGAAGACAAAAGTGTTGCTAAAAACGTTTGAATTGCCCGCGCCTGAGCACAGAGCAATAAATAAATGTCTCGAAATTGTTTGAGAAAAATACTGCATTTTTAACGATTTTTATGAGATTGTTTTTGCATGAGTCAGCATAAATTTTTTTTTATGAAAAATCCCCTTACTTCTTGTTATATTCGAAACACGTGTCTCAACAGTTTTGCGTGCTCCACTTGAGTTTTTGGGTTGGTAATCCCTACTGGTAGTCCCACCACTATTTATTACTTCTTTGATTATAAATGAAAATATGAAACACAAGAATTAAACATCTCTCACTCTCTACTCACTTCAAGTTCGCCTGCGTGAATAAATGCAACGGTCGTCGATTGCGCCCCACTGAGCCGGCAACTACGGGCGATGAAGGTCGCGAACCGCCGCCTTTATGCAGCTGCAGATGAGTGGGTGGCTGCCGAATACCAGCGCCACCACCACCACCACCAGCACCCAACGTAGAGACACCGTTGCAATGCTGACCCTTGTTGGCTTTGCCAACTGTATGCATATTTGTACTTGAATTCGAGAAACGCTGTGCGGAACTGCGTAGGTTATTCGCATTCTTTGCGCGCTGCAATGTCTTCGTTGCTGATGGTGTGGACGTTGACGAGGATGTTGAGGATGAGCGGAAACGTGAGCCGGTCAGCACAGCAGCCAAATTGGCGGCAATGCGATTGTCGAAACGATTAAAGTAGCTGCTGTTGTCGACGTTGTGATGATTGCTGTTGCTGTTGCTGTTGCGATTGTTGCTGTTCACCGTTGTTGGTGATATTGTGGCTGCTGACGTTGTGCTGGTTGCTGGCGCGCCATTGGCTATTGCGGTGTTGGTGGTGACAACACCCGCTGGCTCATAATCCAAATTATTGTTAATCATTTTGTATGAATTTATGTGTCGGTTAAGCGGTTGTTCTTGCAGAGAGGAAAGACACCAGCGGCGATTATGGTTTTATTTTTTAATTTTTTCTTATTGATTTTTAAAGTTTATTTTAATTTCTTTCGTTTTTTACACTTTTTCTTGTACTATTTTTTTCATTTGTTTTCACTGCTTTGCATTTTTTATTGTACTCTCTTGTACTTTTGTGCGCTACTTGAAAAAAAATTAAATTATTGTGTGGTTATAAGATTTTAATTGCTAATCCCCAATAGCTGGTCACTAAGCTTCACTGGTTCTGTATTCTCGCCCTCCACGCGTCCGCCGGTTTGTGTTGCTTCGACCACACTTTATGCCACATTACCAAAGTTAATTCATGCGTAAACTGACAACAATATACACATGCATACAAACACACATTTGTGTGTACGTATAAGAACAATAGCAACAAACATAAACAACGGTCCGTATTCATGGCCAAACAAAGCGTTAAGCCGGAAGGAAGCAAGCGTTGGCAAACCGCAAAACTCACAAACAACAATGGCAATGAGGCATTTCGACGCCGCGCATCGATGGCCAAGCCGAATATTGCAAAACCACCATAGCGCGGGGTGGGAAGACCAAATACAAAACAAAAAAAAAAAAAAAATAATAATAAAAATACTTTTATATACGAATGCCCTGAAAATGGGTTTGAGGCCGGAAGCAGCAGACGATGACGTCGTCACTGCCAAAAACAGCAACATGCCAAACAGAAAATGCACAAAAGCACTACGAGGAGGGAGTTGGATGCGCGTATAAAAGCCAAGGGTTGTTATTGTATTGTATATGTTAAAGTGGTTGAGTGGGCATTGAGCGATTGCTTACACTGTTTTGCCTTTTATATAAAATATTTTATGTAATTGAATGTGATCGGTTATAAATTTGGCAAATGCCAATATCGAAGCTTTAGTGAAATAAAGCTGTCACTTTAGATTTACCGTTACACTGGCATTTTGTGATGCTACTACTGTTGCGACATTACATTTGTGAGACTCTTTATGCCATCAGATCCATAAGACTCTACATGGAATCTGAGGAGTGTAAAATACAGTTTAATTAAAGCGTGGAGTCTTATTGTGAGCAAGAATTTTCAATGCAGCAGAGGGCTCAAAAATTTTTAACTTCTCAACCGGTTTTTGGTTGAACTCTCTGGGCCGCTTGATAGATTTTTATGAGAAGCTTTTTGATGTTTGAATTAATACCGCCTTAAGAGCGGGTTTTGAACACACATCTCTCTGCATGATAGGCGCAGCCCTAATCATCTACCAATATGCTCGTACCGTATCTCTTTTTATGCAACTTAGTAAGGTATATTTTCTTTTAAATCTTAAAATTTCACTCAACAAAATCGTCCGTATCTGTTTGAGTGCGACAGGATAGCTAAATAGAGTCACTGATTAATCGAAGAAATGTCGATTGCCAATAGCAATTAGAAAAATAAAAATATACACCTCCTGTTCGATGAGTAGGAACGCGTCCTTGTATTCCATATGACTCCAAGCTAAGTGAAGTTACAAGCCAAATTCTTGTAAATTTAATCAAGAAATATCCTTTATAGAGAAAGAGAGTATGGGAAATACTAAGTATGACCCCAATGATATTCTGACAGTCATTGACTCTTGAACATCTTAATGGAATACATGGAGAGTCCCGAGCCATACGAGTAATTTTATTGTAGCTATCACTTTTACAGTTAGTTCCAACCTTCAAAAGAAATTGGGTCTCAAATAATTTGGGGTTTTCATTTTATGTCGCTTCAAGCATTCAAGCGAACCAATGGCTAGAGAATGATCATGAGGTAAGCTGACCCGGTGGACGTCCAAAGGAACGGTGATATTAAAAGAGCATTTGGACTGTATATTTAATAAACAGGGATTGACTATAAGAAAGCATTGCTCATTTTGAACCGAAAACAAAAAAATTTTTAGGGTCCAGTGAACCTCGCTCAATGCGGTCAGAAGCAGTGCAGTCAGCTGGTGTAATATACAGCCGCATTGTTTGGATTTTGGGTGAAATTTATCGACTATTTTGAGAAGAGAATTGTCATGAACAGTGAAACTCAAAAAGCATTTCTAGAGAGTTTGAATGCCGAAATGGCTAAAGAAAAGTTTGTTTCACCAACACAACGCAACACATCACCAGTCAATCAAAACCATGGAAAAGCAATATTATTTGAACTTTCGCCATCCTTTGTTTTCGTCAGATTTGGCATCCAGCGATTTAAGAAATTTCACTCGAATGAAAAAGCTATCAATGAAATTGAGACCTCCTTTGAAGAAGAAGATAAATCGATCTGCAAATGTGGTGCTGATCGAATGGTGTAGCTCTGTATGGAGATCACATTAGTAAATAAAGCAAAAGCTGAACAAAAAACAAAACGAGTTCTCTGTGTTAGGCCCTTTTAGTCGTTTCGGCATAAAGGCCAGACTCTCGAGGGAACTTTGGAATTTAATCGTCTCTTAACACAGGAAAGAATCGAATTTTCGTCTCCCAGTTCGGTCATATTTTATTTGATTTCTCACTCTCTTTCAACCGTCTGTGGAAAGAGGAAAGGTAACCGTTGAATACCCGGCGCATATATATCATAATTCTAAAATTGTTTTTTTTTTTTTTGTAACTTTTTACAATACCAGCTGATGCATCGCCAGTCATATCTTAAAAAGTGTAAAATGGCCGCAATCCCAGTATTGTATGCCATCCCTTGATTTGATTTCTAAATCTAAAAGATTTTGAGTACAAAAGGGTATCTTATAGCAGAAAAACCTTTGCATTAAAATCTCAATGAAAACCCGAATCAATTATAAAAACATTTTCACAATAAAGGCATTAATTAATTGCTGCCAAATTCCAGCACACAGGGAAATATCTGTCCTATCTATTAAATTGTTCTTTTTTCCATATACAAAAAATTTTTTAATGCCACATTGTAATTCCACATATGTATTTGCATAAATATTTGCCACATTTTTTGCTTATTAATGCGCAGTAGGGCAGTTATGTGGACAATGATTGTGTGTGTGTCAGTTAAAATGTATTTAGTATTTAACTAAATTGTTTTTAATTAATATTTATGAGCTCGTGACATACTTTATGTAAATATTATTCATTCAAAAGCGATGCGCTTTTTTAAATATTAATTTTTATGCACACTCATTACGTAAATTTGCTGAATTACAAATGCATTCCTTTTGGGGGAAAAATGGGAGAATCACTTTTACACAATATATTCGACATATTTTAGGCAAGTCTTTTTTATAAGTTTAACATTTTTGAAATATTTATTTAAATTTTTAAAGAATTTTCACGCATCGTGTTCGCAACGAATTTCTCCAAACCAATATTACACGGTACTTTCCAATTTTTCTATACTCTTTTATTCATTTGTTGTTATTTTCTTTTGCTAAATGTTTTTTTCATCAATTTTTTTTTCCGCTGCCTACAGTGTCAATCATTTGGGCAAGCGTTGAGTGCAGAATTTTTTAGACATTAACCAATTTCAGTTGATTTTTGTTGAGTTTTGATGAGATTATTGTTGAGTGTTTTCGAGCGATTTTTTTTGTTGTTGTTGTTGTTCAGTATATTGTAATAGTTTTTCGTTGGCAAATTTTCAGTTATTTTTTTTTTTCAGTTGTGATCGCATACCAATTTCATGTGTTTTTAGTTGTAACTGTTGTTGTTGTATAAAAAGCAGCCGATAGCATGAAAATGAAATAAAATATATATAAAAAAAATAAATTTATTTAATTTAGTTTGCATATGCATACGATAAAATAATATTTATGTGCGCAATATTGTGTAAAATTGAAATTTTTATAGCGATAAATTGTTGAAAAGCAATATAGTATACTGACCTCTGATTTTGATCTATGAGCTCCAGACTCTTCATTGAGACCCCAAACACTGACGTTTGACGCGTGGTGTGGCAAGGATAAGTTTTGATGAAATTCAAAATATATTTAGCGCTTAGCGGAGTAGAGTAATAATTTATGTGTCAACATATTTCAGTTTGCCGCCTGAAAGGTTTAAAAAGAGAAAGAATTTTATTACAAGTGAATCTTCTAACTGCTACAGCAAATTCGATAAAAAAATATATGCCTAAGCTCACAGTATTTAAATATAAAAAGTTATACATTAAATCAAATAAACTAAAAGAAAAAGCAGATAAATTGAAATAGAAATAAATTAGATATATAAAAAAATAAAAAAATTTTAACTAAAAAAAAGGGAACTAAATAACGTCAAATATACATGAACAAAATGATATTAAAGCTTATGTTATAAGTACAACAAAAAAGTAAACAAATTAAATTAAAATATATTGGTATAAAATAAAACAAAAATATGACACTAATTAAAACAGTAGGTTCCTCCATATATTGAGAAAACATCGCAAAACCACAAATTCGAAGAGGAGCGACCTTCCGCCGCCGCTTCAAAGAGATAAAAAAACTAAAATAAAGCAAACAAAAATTATATTAAATAAAATAAAAATAAAAATAAAAGTAAAAATAAAAATAAAAATAAAATAAAATAAATTTAAAAAAAAAAGGAAAATAACAATAAATAAAATTAAAATAAATTAAAATATAATACAAAAACAGTATAAAAAAATAAAATAAAATAAACTAAAATAAAATAAAATAAAATAATATAAAATAAAATAAAATAAAATAAAATAAAATAAAATAAAATAAAATAAAATAAAATAAAATAAAATTAAATAAAATAAAATAAAGTAAAACAGAACTAAAAAATAAAGAAAGTAAATAAATTAAAATATAATAAAATAAATTGGTAAAAAAAATAAAACAAAAAAAACCCAAAAAAAATCATAAAATGAAATATAATAAAAGAAAATAAAACAAATAAATATACACAAATAAATGAAATAAAATAAAGAAAGATAATATTAAAATATCATAAATTAAATTTTTAAAAATAAAATAAATTAAACTAAACTTTAATAAAATATCTAAAACAAAACAAACTTAAAACTAATATAAATTAGAATATAATAAAACAAAATGCAATAAAATAAATACAGTAAATAAATTAAATATATTAGAAAATTAATTAAAAAAAGTAAATAATCTATAATAAAATAACATGAATTAAAATATAATGAAATTAAACAATTTACGATTTCAAATAAAAGAAAAAACCAAGTTAAATTCAAATTAAATGAAATCAAAAATAATTTAAATAAAATAAAAAATAGTAATATAAAATAAAATAATATAATATAAAAATTATTTAATTATTTGAAGTAATAATTAATAATAATAAATAGAGCTAAGCTATATAAAGTGATAATAATATTAACTTGTCATTATTATTATTTAAGGAGTTCTGCAAAGATCGAAATAAATGGGAGTCTGATGGTGCATGGTCAGGACTGTATGGTGGATGCATCAAAAGTTCCCAGCCAAGCTCACTCAGTTTCTGGCGAGTGACCAAAGATGTGTGCGGTCTAGCGTTGTCCTGGTGGAATATGACACCATTACGATTGACCAATTCTGGTCGTTTCTCCTTGATGGCTGTATTCAATTTGTCCAATTGTTTCAATACATGTGGTACCCAAATATCAAGCTTTTTCACCAGTTCAAGACTTTTTATGTGATAATGAACGGTTGATTTTGGTATATTTAACTTCTCTCCTATCTCACTCTCAGTTACATGACGATCCAATTCGATTAATGCTTTGATTTGGTCATCATCAACTTCATTTGGCCGACCTGAACGTGGCTCATATTTAAGTGAAAAATCTCCAGAACGGAATTTGCAAAACCAATTTTGACACTGTCTTCCTTTTAAGGCTTTATCACCATGCACATCTCGTAACTTTTTAGCAACCTGCTCCGCGTTTTTTCCTTTACGGAAATAATAAAGTAAAATATGACGAAAATGCTCCTTTGTGGGCTCCATATTAAAATTGACGCCAAACAAACAAATGTAAACAAAATTTCGCGCACTTTTTTTCTAAAGCAAGCTAAAAGTAACAGCTGTAAACTGACAGAAGAAAAAATGCAATTACAGAGTCACAAGCCGTTGAAAAAATTTGTCAACGCCGACTATATGAAAAATCCACAATTACTTTTAGGGCAACCCAATAAAACATTCGGGTTTAAGTGAAAACATATCAAAAGCATATTGGGTACCTATTCTTCTCAACAGTTTTACTAAATTAATATTTGCATTCCTTAAATAGTTTGCGATTATTATGAAACCAACTCTATAACACATATAAAAATAAACAACCTTTCTGACGAAATCATTTCTCGCTATAATCGAGGAACACCTCATTGGGCAGCTAATCAGCTGTGTCATGCGCAAAACAACAAAGTTACAACCTTTTTGATGCTCCAAAACAGACAAGGGATATATTTATACATTATATATGAAGGAGTGTTTGTACGTATGTTTGTCTCCATGTGTATGCATAACTAGTAAATAGTAGACAGATACAATGCGAATGCAAAAAAAGAAGAAAACGAAATCAAAGCAGGAAAAATCTCTCACCACAAATAATTCGCCTGTAGTTGGCAAGTAATCGGCGCGAGCCCAACGCCATCAAAAACTGCCACAAAGTTAATGAAAGTCTATGTAGTAGATAAAAGGAGTAGAAGAAGAAGAAGAAGAGTTGCGATGGCCGCAATCATTAACACCAAGTCCCAAAGGATGAACAGCAGCAACAAAGCCGACCGAAAATAAAATGGAAGCAAAAACAGGCGAGGAGATAGCAAATAGATGGCGCTTGAAGGAGAGTTGAGTAAATGGCCAGAACTATGAATAAACCAAAACTCATTCAAGCGTTAATGCGGCTAAAGGAGAAACTGTAACTGTGTGGAAAATAGCCACAAAGAAACACAGCTACATATAATGGAAACAAATAATTTTGTAACAGAAGAAAAAATATAAAAAATAAATAACTAAAATAAATGCAAAATAAACGAAAAATAGAAAAATTGGCAGAGATTAAAGGATACTCGGCGTAAATGTCTTCTTAATTACTTCACAACGAGCAGGAGCTAACGAGAGCAGCAGAGCGGCAGCTACCGGGTGGCTGTTTCTGTAGAGTGAAAGCAGCGAAAAGAGTGAAATAAATGAAATGTGTGCAACTGACTGGTTGAGGGTTTTGCAGGCTTGACGCGAACCTGAAAGTGTGTGAGCCAATGACCCAAGCAACGTTCTTTTCCCAAAGTGATGATATTGCAAAAAAAAGACAAGTTATTAAGCAAACGAGCTGAGCGAAAAACAAGTAGGAAAAAAATTAGGAAAAAATTTTAACAATTTGAGCGTAAGTAATTCAATGTTGGCTTTCAGGCACATATAAACACACACATAAACACACACACACACACAAACACACACACGTAAGCACAGTTTCGAATGTGTAGTTGCTTCTGGGCTGCACGGCGTATTCAACGAGTAAAGGTAATCGTTGAAAGTGCCGACAAACGTCTGCCAACGCACGACAGCCTTCAAACGGAAGTAATTTAATTAATTACAAATGAAACGGAAACTCCGAACAGCAGCACAGATTAGAGCACAGCATAGCTTACAGCGATTGCCGTGTAACTATGTACGTAACTAGCGTGCTAGTGGGCTTTGCATACTTGCGTACTTATGTATATACGTATACGAGTATGCTTGTGTATACTTTCCAACTCAATCGATTCGACTTAAACGCACCACAGGCAACAATACCTTTTGCTAGGCTTGTTTTCGGTTCGATTGTGAGGAGGCAGAATATTTATGCATTTCCGTATGTTTGCTTGTGTTTAAGCGTATTTGTATATATTCGCTCCGTGCGTACTTTACTTAAACTTGGCATAAAGTATAAATGTTGTCCGAATATATGATTTCGCTTTAATTGAAGCTGCAACTCGCCGAGCCAAATATGCCAATTGTTACTTTGCAAGAGCCAATTAATTTCTCTGATTGTATTACAGATAGGTAGATATAGACGCACACGATAGACAGATTTTTCAGTTTATTTTATACGAGTATAATAATATTGAGGTGTATTTAACCGATTTGATCTTTCTTGTTTAGCTGAAGAAAACTTCGAAAGCGAAATTACCGTATATGACAAGGCTCCGAATTGAAGTCACAAGATTTTGTTTAGCGGGTTCAGAGTTTAAGCGGGAAAATTATTCTGTAGATGATTTCTAATAATTTTTTTTCGAGTCAGAGAGATAGACATAGAAACAGGTTAGAAAATATCACAAGAAAATTAGTTAAATCGATTGAAATTGAAAATCCTAAATGTAAGTAAAGGGTCAAGAAAAAGAATGAAATGAAGTCTCACTTTCCGTGAGACATACTTTGTATATATGTATGTGAACAGCTTTTTCTAAACATTTACGAAGACAAATTCAAAACGAAAGATTTTTGTTAAAACTTATTTAAATATCGTTTTTTGTGGGACAGCACTGATATATTTCTAAAATGAAAATTTAAATCAATAATTAATGTTTAGAATAGTAAAATCTTTAACCCGAAACTAAGAACATTTCTTTTTCGTTGTCGTTGTTGTTGTAACCGCAAAAATGTTGCGGCAGTGACCGTCCTTGGCTGGATAAAAATCCGGGTCGTTTCGGTATAAAGATCGACTGTCGCAGGAGCGCCTATAAGACCGGCATGCCGTACCGCGTGTAAAATCTTGCACCCCCAACCCGCAGAGCTCTTTTCGTCTGTTATAGCCGATTTTATACCAAGCGTTTCTTCTTTCATCCGTTTGGCACTTAGTGAAGTCGGGCCCTTCTCCATCTGTCCTCCATGGCGGAGTAGTGATATTCTTCTTTCACTACTTCTACAGGTGTAAATTGAGTGGAATACTTTCAAAGCTCAACCATGCGAACAACATGTCACTGTATCTTAATATGCTAAACTATCGTCACTGGTATTCGCCGTCGACCATACAGTAAGAACCAAAAATCTTTTACAAAAAAATTCTATTTCATTGGGCATTTTCCACCCTTCGGCATCTTAAACTAAATAAAACGGAAAT